TGAAAATGCTGCTGCTTCCCAAGCTAATTATGTAACTGAATTTTTGTACATTTCTCCATATACTGAGTGTAAAATAAAAGGATCATAAAGCGTGACAAAGTTAATTTCCTACACCTTGCCTTATCAACTCAGATATTGCAAAAATCCTACAGCTTTTTCTGTAGTGAAGCAGTATTAGAGGAATGAGAGTCACAAGGAAGGAGATTGCTTGTGCCTCTTGGCACGTATTCGGTGTTAACTTTAAGGAGAAAACATGTTTCTTCTATGTTTCTGTTTTCATGAAACCATTTGTGACATAATTTGGTCAAACTCATATTTAAATGACTAAATGTAACCAGTTAAGCAGGCTTTGTATGCTTCCATTTAGTCCCTGAAGTTGCTAGTGGCACAGATTAAAAAATACAACGCCAGAATCTCTTGCTGTTGGTATTATTTTCAAAGCTTAGTTCAAAATGCGAGAGCCCAAATCTGTTCACGTTATATGATAATCATGGCAGTGAAAATAGAATTGTAAATGTTAATATTAAAACTTGTTAGAGTTGCTTCATAACAGCAATAGAAGGTATAAAGTGAACTTGAAGGGTTTTAAACATTTTAGTTTACAAGGAAAATAGATTCTTATTAGAAGAACCTATCTTGCCTACTGAACCATTCTACGGTTTTGAAGGTATCTGTTATTTGGTTCTCAGCCTCGCAAATAGCTGATTAAGCTAAATATGTTTACATTCCTCCAATTTTGCCCGTCTTGTGTTTACAGTAACGTTTGCCTTGCCTTATAGTAATCTTTGGAACACCAGTCTTACATTATTTTGGAGGAAGAGATGATTATTTGGTTTGGACTTCTTACAGATTAAGTTACAAGATTTTGCAGCTCTGAAATATTAAGAGAGATTTGTTCAAATAAAAGTTTAAAATAATCCAACTTTATTGTAGTCGTCTGTTTCCTAAACAATCTAGAATTAGGTGGTAAGCAAGGTTACTGATCAGTTTTACTGCTGCAGAATGGAGAAATACAGTACAGAGTGGAATTTAAATGAAACTGTATTATGTCATGTGCATATTTTTTCTTTCACTAGTTCTAGTATCAGACTCATATAAAAGAGTGATAGCTTAGGGATTTGTTTTTCTTTGTCTTGATTTCTGCTTTCAGTAATTGCCTTTTGAAAGGTGAATCTGTTTTGAAAATGATTTTTTTTTTCCTCCTAGTGTGCTCTGAATTTCCACGTTTTATGTTCATATCTCAAATTCTTTGAAAACAGTTTTTTCAGAGTATTAAGCAACCAAACTGCAGTTTATATAACTTTATGAAGGTTTTGGTTTTCAATCTAATACAATCTGCTGGCACAGATGGACTCAGTGAAGCCCCTGAAAATTAGAGTGCTAATAACTCTGCAAGAGAAAAATGAATGAATTTCTAAATTACAGGAATGTCTTAAATGATGTATATTTTTTTTAGTTGGAAACTTACACAGATGGAATTACTTGAAAATAGACCTATAAGATATTGCAGTAATATCTGTGGATGCCATTGACCTGTTGTCACTTTTAACTCCTTAGTATGATAATTTTACTACAAGTATATAGAACTACAGAAGAAGTGGTCTCCCTGCAAATCAGTTGGCTAATGGCTAAAAATATTGATTTATTTGCATTTCACAGTCTCTAGTTCTTTCATTGGTCATGCTGACACTGTAAGCAATGCTAGGATGTCTACCTGTTTAGGAAATAGTCAGTACATCGCTCTAGAGAAGCTGTTGAGCACAGCCAAGGTTTGAAGCTGGGTTTTGAGTGTGATGAGATCATTCTCTGTTACAGCAAAGCACTATCACGTTCAATGTTTTTCCCAGCTTACTGCATATGAAGGGAATATATCATGACTGATTGTGGACAATTAGACTCTGGTCCTTAGGAGTTGAATTACTTTTTCGTTGTATTTGGTTTTTTATGTCAGTCTGGAAAATTAACATTTGTTGCATCCTCCAGATTTGCTCTTTGTTTTCTTTTGTTAAAATATACTTAAAATGTGCATTTTACAGTTTTTTGTCTTCCAGAAACCTAAAAGAAAATCCCAAACTATTGTTTCATCTATTCTTGAAAGGGAAAAAAAAAAACTTAATAAAACAACTTGCATTAACCTAATTCTTACAAGGGCGTTATAAAGTGAAGGCTACATGCTTCAGGCAGAACGGTTTGCTTTTCAGAATGATTCGTGGAAAGCCATATGATATTTGTTAGCTCTGCTGCAACTGGTGATATCCTCTTTGCACTGTTTTTCTAGAAACTTTCAGCTTATATAATCTTTCTTTTTTCCTACTCTTTTCAGAGTAATTCTACAGTCCAGTGTTCAGAAAACTAAAACCTCTGAACCTAGCATTTCTGACTGTACAGACATTACTAAAAGAACTACCAGGTCTGCTGCAAGAAAAAACAGTTTAAAAAGGTGAGAGTTATCCATCCTCTTTAAAGATCCAGACACCATTCACCAGACAAATACTTTGAGCAGTTGTATCCATTGCTGCTAGGGCCTTTGGCCGCTGTTCAACTCCTTCTCCTAGTAAGGAGAAGTGAGTAACACTTATCTGTTTAATGTCATGTACTAAGAATACCTGGAGCTTTAAATCTCATGTCATTTGTTTATGTTGCTGAGTCTTTCAACTTTCAGAATTTTCTATTGGACTTTCTAATGTTAGTAAGAATTACTGAAGGGTGAGGGATTCAGGTAATGAAAAACTATGCTTTACCAAACCCCTGCCTGGAATAAGAGGACGAAAACTGGTTCACAGCATTGAGTAAAGTATTAGCACTTCAAGTCAAAACCAAGAGGAATTAGATAGACAACTGAAATGCAGGAGGAAAAACAATTTGGCTATGTATATTGGAAAGGTAAAGTGTATAAGATGTACATGTATTTATTGGTATGAGATTTTGTAATGAAAGAAGTTAGAAACCTGAACTAAACCTGTGCTGTAAAGCTTAACAAAATTTAAAACTTGGATGGATTTGTGCATGGCTGAAAGTAGCTTTTGGCCAGGAAGCATACAGACACGTTGCAAGTATAATGCTTCTGCAGATGCTGGTGTGTATGCGCGCGCGCCTATGTGTGTGTGTGTGTGTGTGTGTGTGTGTGTATGTGTATGCGCACACACACATCTCTAAAGTTCTCTTACACTGTAGGTCAGATCTCCCTAGCCTGAGAGTCTAGCTTTAATCTTTGCTTGCAGTCCTAGATTAGGAGAATATGAACAGCTCCATTTCCTTCCTCGTGATGTTTTGCTTTCATGTGTGCAGACATCAGTATACTATAGAAAATTATACTAAACTGGCAAATGCCAGTTAAGCAAATTTAAGCCCTGCTTTAAATGAAATGGCATGAAACAGTTTCAAGCAGTTTCCAGGGGTTACAAGGACAACAATTTGTCTTGTACTTGTGGTGAAAAACTTTCAAACAGATCTGTCAGGTGCTAAAGAGAAACTTCTTTTTGCTGAGAAGACTAAAAGGTGGCAAATAACGTAAAAATGACTGATAAATATTACCAAAGATCCCAAGTCCTTAAGCAAGTTTTTTCCCACAGAGCTTTTCTTTCCCCTGTCTCGTCCTCTTTTATAGATAACAGAAGTTACTAAAAATCCTCTCTATGGGGCAAGGGAAACAGTATATTTAATAGCAATCTGTAGGGATATGCTAGTCAAAGAATTTTCTACAGCAGCTATATAAATTACCTTTTGATTCATATAGCAATTTGTAACAAAACAAAAAAAACCTTTTTCCTGATTTTTTTTTTTTTTCCCCCCCTCCTTTTTACGTTGTTTTTCCCATGTCAGTTTTGGTCCAGACTGACTGCTGTGATTCTGGCTGCTTTTCTTTTATGCCTCTCCCAGTTTTAAGCTCCTTACAACTCTTGGTAGCTGTATATATGCATATGTGTAATTGAACAGACATGGTCAGTTCCTGGAAAATACACTTCGGAGTACTTGTTTGTGTTGTGAGAGATGAGAATACCTATTCTGAGGAGGAACAACATCCCTATAATTAATTTCTTGGAAGATTTCAGAAACTGTAAAAGAAATCGTTCATGTGTATTACCACATGTATGACTGAGGACAGGGATCAGGTTTTAAATATCTCAAGCTTCATAAAGTATGTGATATTTTGATGTATTTTCTAAAACTTCTACCCCAAATATTTCATTCCATGTACTGTTTCTTTTTTCCAACTTTTGAGATAAAACAATTTCAGTCAGGTTATGCTTGGATCCTGTCATCAAGGTTGCCTTAAATAGCTATGTCACGGTTCTGAAGTACTTAGCATGTTTTCATCTGAGAGGGCTAACTGGTTGTAGGTCCCTCTGAAGAGTATTTGAGTATGATTTTACAGTTTCATTGACTTAATAATGCAGTGCCTTCCTATTATCCTATTGGTGTGCTTCCCTATAGCATTTGACAAAACCTCACCTCATTTTTTAAGCTTAGCCTTTTCTCTTTTTATCTGAAATATTTTTGACTTTCCTGAAGTGTATTCAGTTTGTGTAATCTTATAGTGGTCAAACTGATTTATTCCCCTTCACCTGTAGCGCAGGATGGAAGAGAATACCTATATATATTGTTGGAGATTTGACATCTTGCCCTAACCCAGCATCTCTCTCTCTCCAGGACCCTATTACTTCTCCAGACTTCTGACATTACCATCTATCCTCATTCTTTTATTTTTTTAACCTCAGTGGAAACATCTTTAAGTATTTTTTACATTAATCTCATGCGATGTAATGAGCTATAGCCCATTTTAGTCACTTCTTAACACAGCTGAATCATGTTTGTATCCTTCCTAGTGCAATATAATCCAGAGTTCATTTGCCGTTTCATCCTCAGACAGATCATATCCAGAATCCTTCTTATGTTCAGCCAAAAGAGCCATTTACAGCTAAATTACTCGCTTCTGGTTTTGCAAAGGGATCTTGGAGAGTTTCAATCCCATTCATAATGTTCACTGCATTTCCTTTACAGAACATATCTAGATGTCAGCTGCCATCTAAGGAGGATAGTACTGGTGGATGTGATACATAATATCTTGTGACTGAAACAGCACAATCAATGAACTGCAGAAAGTCACATTACTAGAGCATTCTCTCTGCGATCTTTTTCTGTGGATGCCCTTGATCTAAGCCTTGTTTTCCAGTTAAGATGTGTGTCTTGTAAATATACTACTTACTAAGTATAGTAGTATAGTATTACTTACTAAGTAGTAATAAGTAGTATACTTATTACTGTGATTTAATAATATACATGTATCAAATCACTCTAAGGATAAATGTGTTATTTTCCTCTCCTTGTTTTCTCCTTGTGTTCTTGCTATTTAATCACTTGTAGTAGATGGAATAATGTGCTATCTCAGCTGGAAAGTGAATAGGGTAGAAGTAGAATCCCCAAATCTTAACCTTTAGCATAAACAAGCATTGCCTGGTTTAGTCCCAAAACACTTGGAAGATTGGTATAGCATCCTCATTTTACAGCTAGATGAGTAGAGATACATAGCAAACTCACATCTGTGCCAGGAAACAAAACCTGTGTGTCCTGGACAACAGAGGGTCCCCTTTTGCATAGATACCCAATAAATCTCCAAACCAGCTGAATCACATTACAACACAAATGAAACAGTCTTTCCTTTGTTATCACACACTACAGAATTAGGATCTGTCTCTAACAAGTAATTGATGGGATTTTAGTAGGTAGCAGTACTCAGTGGAATGGAGATTAGTTTTTTACAAAAAAGAGCAATCAGTTGTTACTCTGGGAGAAAGAGGAAAAATGTATGAAAAATGTATTTTGTAGATTCCTTTACTTCTTTTAACCAGAGAGGTATATCACAAAAGCTAATGAGGAGGAATATGCCTTGATAATCTAATATGCTTTTGCATTGCTGGGAATTGTAAAGCAGCCTTCTGCTCCCTTGTTTAACTGAAAATTGCTTGTAGCGTTTCAGAGCTTTGTCTATGTGTAATCTAAATCCAGCTTTAAAAAAATTAATATTTCTTTACTGTTCTTTCTACTTTTCCTACAGTCTGATACCTCAGAGGGAGAGAAGGAAAAGGAATGCTTTACAGCAAATGCGCTTAATGAAATTATGGTACTTTGATTCCTCTGTTGCTTTTCTGTATGAAACTGAACCTTTTCTCATATTGTCTGTAATCAGACCAGTCTGTGCTTTTTTTACAACTGATACTGCTTTGTTCTTAAATGCAGTGAAGTTTGTTTTCTGTTTCTTTCTTTGAAGTATTGTTGGCTTATTTTACATTGCCAGAAATGTTTGCTTGAAATACTGGCTTTTGAGAATATATTTAACTGTTTTCCTCAAATATATGTTTTATCATTTCAGCAGCCAATCCATCCCAAGGACTAGAATGGTATTGCGTTAAATTTCAAATAAGCAACCAGTGTTGAAGAGATTATTCAGGAATGAAAGGGATATCACTAGAAAGGACTTAATGCAATTCAAAAAAGAAGATACTTTGCCTCCATTTTTCAGCAAAGATTCAACAGAAAATCTGTCTGTATTTGTAGAATAAAATGAACTGTCAACATGCTTAATAGACAGCTTCCTAATGCGCTAAACACTTCCTCAAACAAAACCAACAAAATTTAACTGTGTAAATTTAGGCTCAGGTGTAAATACCTAAGCTCTCTATTATAAAGAGGGCTTGCTAGTATGTATGATGCATGTGTATAAATTGTGATGGCAATCACTTAGTTGCTGACCACCAGAAGTGAAAAGAAGGTGGGAGCTTTTAAAATATTTCAATCTGTCTTGTCCATTCAGATTGGGCTTGAGTTCAAGTCTCCAACAGAGAGTGAAACTCAATTGCAAAGGCTTCATTCCTATAGTGTGGGCACTCTCCTATGTTAATTGGTTGTCCTTTCTTATTTTGTATGAAGTTTTTTTATGAAGCTGTCATGTTGAGTATACAAAGTAATTATCATTCACCAAAGAGTGCTTTATTTTCAAGGGTTATGTGTTTTCTTTTTTAAACCTAACTAATGCAATTAACTTGGTTTTAATACTAACAGGTTTTCAGTTATTCACAACCAATAGCTCTTTTAACTCATTGAAATTGCTTTCAAGCTGGTATGATGTAAGGGGGAAGAAAAACACTTTACCATTTAAAGCAGTGCTATCATATTGAAATGTCATTACTATTTCTTTTCTTATTTACAAGTGTTTTAGCTGAAACTCTTTACCGTATCTAAAAGTTAATAATTTTTCCCAGGTTTTATTGGTACATGTGATAACACTGGATGTCACTGTTAGCTTTCGAGACAATAATGAGCACAACGCACAAAAAATGGCAAATAAGATTGCAGAACCACTGAAATTGGCACTGGAACTCAGGAGCAGGTATAGTCCATCCTGTTAAAACAAGCTATTTCAAAATAAGTGTTTAACATCTGGTTAACACTTCAAAAAGTACAGCTTACCTCTGTTAAAAAGCAGTGTAGTATGTAGAGGAATCTGTTGAGATTTAAATTTTCTCCCACTGCAAGCCTGCCTTCAAACACCAGCAGCATTTTTTTGCCCTGTCCTTTTTCACCTTGTGAAAGCTGCAGGCTTACTCCTCCATGATGAATCCTTGGCTGCCAACTTGAAGTTTGTACCCGTATATCCCTCAGACTAGATCTGTTACCACATAGCCTTAAGTGTATTCTACTTATCTATTGATTAGGTAACAGTTGTATTAGAGAGGAGTGAGTAGAAATGGAGAGATCTGAAACGTTTTAGCAATGGACTACTATCCTAAGTTTTTAAAGACAGCTATAGATACAAATGACTTCTGCAAAGGGGGGATTTTCTTTCTGTGAATGTAAGTGGGCAAGTTCAGCGGCTAGTTCTAGGAAAGAAATTCCTAGAAATTAAGATTCCTGTTAGCAGGTTGGTGGTTTTGAATGCTCATATGAGAAATGCAAACTGGCTTGAATGCATCTCTTTGGTAAGGCAGAACATCATGAGTTGGAAGGTGGACAGGGTGTGGAATACAGGTTACAGGTAGGATCTTTGAATTTGGACACTGTTCAGCTTTGCAAGTATGAATACAAAGAAGACAAAAAAGGCTTGTATGGAGTGAAAAACAAAGAGCAGGTGAGACTTGAAACCAAAATAATTCTTGTTTTCCTCCTAATCTTCAGAAGAAGCACCTAAAAGAAAGGGACGGAATTCAGCCTGCTATTTGATTAAAGCTTTTTGGCTTTTTTTTTAAAAGTTTTTTCTTTTTTTTTTTTTTTTTTAATGAGCCATTTGCCCCAAAAGCAGATCTAGAGGTGACTGCAATAGTAGGTATTTTTAGTAAAAGTAAATCTATGTGTATGTTTAAGAAAATTTTTATGTTAGAAATTGTCAGTGAACCTACTGTGACAAGCCTTAACAAGCAGAAGGAGAGGATAAAACCAGTAAGGTGGGAGGATGAGAGTCAAAACAAGAAAGACGTAGTAAGATTTATAGACTTTGGCTTGTCCTTCCTCTGTTGCTGCTTTGATACATAGAGCTTCTGCTAACTGAGAGCAAGAGATTTATAACTGTAGTATTTGCAAATATTGGATACAGAAGTAACAAATATCATATTTGGATCAAATGAGTTAAAAATAGTATCTCCCATAAGTGTACTTCTCTTGTTCTGAAACTAAGTCTGAGTTATCTGTGTTTTTACCTGAAAATAATCAGGTTATTCCACACCTCTTCCACATATCTATCCCAAAAAATGAACATTAGGAGAAAAACAACAACAACAACAACATGTTTTATGTAGCCAGCAGAGCCATCAGCACTTTCAGGTTTATCAGAACATCAGGAATAAATTTGCATTAAAAAATGCACAAGAAACACTACGCTGGCAACTCTAGCTAAACCAAAACTGCATGTTTAGCATGAATGTTTTTCAGGCTACCGTTTCCACCACTGTATCATATTCAAACACATGAATGTCAACTGGCATTTTGCATTTGAATTCTCCAGACAGCCTTATAGGGAAAACTAATCCATTACCTCCTTGTGTCCCACCTAATTGTATTGCTTAATTTGCACTTTTGAGTTTTAATACTTTGCCTTGCATTTTTATTACACTGCACCAAAGCCATCTTAAGTACAATTATAAAGAGTGGGCATGGGTGAGGAAGTCCTTGTCTGCTAGGTCTTTCTTGAGTTGTGAAAAACTATGTGCCAAAGGGAATGTGTGTGCAGCAGCTGCTTTGGAGGTATAGGATGGAGTGCTGAAGGAAGTTAGTTATTTCTGCTGTCATCAGTTAATAGTTTTGATTAAACTTTTAATTCCTCCTCCTCCCCCCTTTAAATTCATAGGAGAGACAGATTCACCCTTGATCTCCTACTCAAAAGACACAACATATTCAAATACTGTAGTATTTTGGGTCAAATTGCTGGCTTCCATCTACAGCATCAATAACTTGCACAGAAGTTAACCACGGACTTTGTCCTTTTGCCTCAGTTAGATAAAACAGGAAGCACTGCTGTTTTTAAAACAAAAGTTAAAATTTCTAGACTCATGCATTAAATGGAAAAAATTAAGTGATGTTCACCAGTTTGTTGCACTGCAGTTTTTATATTAACGGTTTGCAGACTGTTTGTCTTGTGTAGACTCATGTACAGACTATCAAGTTCTAAAATTTGACTAATCAGTACTGTTCATCCTGATTATTTTTAAATTGTATATTTCTAATCATATTTTTTAACTTGGACTGAGTGACAGAGTGGGAGTTTATTTTGCTGAAAGTATTTTTAAGAAAAAGCTTCGTATTATCTTGTAATATTTAGTAGTTCAATATGCATTTGTGTCTCATTTGAAAATACTGCATATTGTATCTGGTTTTATACAAAATATTAAATAGTGAGAATTGTAAACATGAATTGTGTAAAATTAAAGATAATAATCAGAAGTTCATTTTCTTACTTTATTTATTTCCAGCATTCTAAAAACTCAGAACAGAAAACATAATGTTTTTATAGGTAACATCTATGACACTTTAACTCATAACATGTGTGCTCTTAAAAACGTAATCTTAACTGCGTGAGAACCTTTATTTAAAGCACAAATCCGTAACAGATGCACCTTTTCTACTTTCAGAATTAAGTAACTTTTTCCAAGGGGGAAACTTTCCCTTGGGGGAACTTCTCAGGGGAAAAACTTCCCCTGAAGTGTGATGCCAAAAGTGGTAATTGTATTTGAATTGTGGGGATACTATTGACCAGTAAAAAAAAGAAAAAAAAAAAACAAACCAAGGGGGGAAAACAAACACACACCATGGGGCCAGCTAGAACAACAGACTTCTTATGCCTTCTTCCTCTGCAATTGTGTAGTACTTGCTTTTGGAAAGTGTTTTATTAAATGCTACATACTCTGATATGAAAAATATGATATACTGTGATATTAAAATGAAAGTGAAAAATTATCAGAAGTGAAATTTTACTTTTAGGAAAACTTTTTGCATTAAAAAATGGTGGTCTGTTTTAATCCATTAACTGTTAAAAAAATATTAAGAAAAAATATATTGACCATTTATAGTCACCCTTACCTTCTGCACATTGAAAAAGGAAAGAGGCAGAATATGCATCTTGAGCAGAGCAGAGCCTGTTTCATAAATACAGAAACTTTCTCTGCACTTGCTCCAAGAAATGAGATCTTCATTTATGCTTGAAAAATTTATGCTTTCACCTGGTGTGAGGTAACCTTTTTCAGACTTGCACAAATGCTTAAACTGCCTTTTCCTGACAAACTAGTTGCCTGCTGAAGAGTGAGTGATAGACTTGGTCTGGGAAAACATCAGTGCACACACCTTATCTCGAGCAAAACACAGTTAAGCTGTGATTAGAGATTTCAGCAGTACTGGCAAGGTGGGGGAAAACAATACAAAACAAACCTACAACCTAAAAACCACTAGTGAGGAAGACACTTGTCAATGGTTGTGACTTGGTCCACTGGTCACTGTTACAGATTATTCTTGTAGTGCTATCATTTCCAGAATTGATTTAACTTTGATTTGGTTTTATTTAGCTACCTTAGTATTATAGTTTCTACATAGACCATGTAGGAGCAGAGAAAGAATACTGTAATGAAAATGTTGTGATGCCTTTAGAAACATTTAAGCTGGAGCTTAAAACAGAAACTGCATTATTTAAGCCTAAGCGACTAGGAGTTTGATAATGGAGAAGGTTTTTTTTTTTTTCTTTTTTTTCTCCAGCTTTTGCAAGGAGAGAACCAGGAAATTGTGTCCTTAAACACGATTTGTGGCCTGGTTAGCATACTTCCCTCAACCCTCTGCCCAGATTATCTGTGCAGAACCAAGGTCTTCCTGGCCCCCAAGGCCACCTAAAACCTGCAACAAAAACCATGCTACCCACACAGCCTCAGCTATTTGTCATTTAGGTGGATGGGCACAGGCCCTCCCCCCCAACTGCATCCCTCTGTGTGTGTGTGTGTGTGTGTGTGTGTGTGTGTGTGTGTGTGCACATGCATGCACACACATGCAAAGCAGTGTTGTTAACACCTCTGCATTCCAGCTCTTCCCTTACCTCAGGCCCTGTGGTCAGCCCCCGACTCCTGGTGCTCTGGATGGACAGAGGAAGCTGGTCCCACAGTTGGAAACCTATCCTTGGCAGTAGCTATTATTAATGTGGGGGGAAAAAAAAAACCCACAAAGTAGGCTATTAAAAGTGAGTGTTGCCAATGGCAGGAAGATAACCACTAGGTAGAAGCTGAAGCAGACCTATTCTTACCACAGTAGGCTTATCATGTCAGTGCTTTGAGGCCACCCTCTCAGAGGAGGCTGGGCATCCCCTTGTTTCTGTCACCATAGCAGAGTTCAGCTTCCTCATTAACCCTGTCCCACCTGAGTTTCTGCCCAAGTTCAGGTTCTGCCATAACCAGGACCATCTCTCAATATTCTTCCCAGACTTTCATGCTTTACAGCTGAACATCTACTCAGTACCCACCATAGGCAGGAGGACTTTATCCTTTTATCTTGGCAGGTCCAGAACCTTCTGGAGTATCTCCTGTTCTGTGCCCTCTGTGGGAAAACCCCAAGACCTCTGGTGTCCCCACACAGCAGCTTTCCCCACACGCTGCTGCCTGCATGCAGGCCTGTTCCAGAGGAGAAACTCCAGGAAGGGGCACAGCACCGCCAGGACAGAGGCACCAACCAGCAAGGCAGTGCTGGCCACTTCCTTCCTAAGAGGCACCTGCAGCCAGCACTGCTTCTGGCAGGGCTGCACCTTACACACCTGAGGAAAGCCTGAAATCCCACCATGGTGGATAGTTCACATTTCATTAAGACTCTATATCAGCCACTGGCCAAGAGCCATGCTCCCCACCCACCCACACTTTATTTATTTACTTTTGGAAATACACAGTCCACACATAATTGTATCCACCCCTACTCTGTCAGATACAATTGCTCCAGCAAGTAACACCGAAGGAGCAACAGACAGGCCCCATTTCTGTGCCCCAGACTAAGGGGAAAATAAAAGTTTCCCAGCCTTGTATGGCTGGAAACATGCCCAGTACCAGAATACACCTTTCACATACCCCACTCCAATAACACCAGTTACTAGTAACAGTTTTTCATCAGCATCCATTTGCTGCAGGTGAAGAAAGGGTGACTGAGATAGGAATGGAAACCAGTAGTCACTTCTTCTTCAAAGGCATGTTTTTTACCCATCCCTTCCCCTTTCACACTACTTTTTTTTTTTTTTAAAGGAAACCAGTGTTTAATGTTTTTTTCTTTTCTTATTTGAGGAATTCCTTTCCCCACTGATACAAGGTATTTTCCATCCTAGGCTCTTCTTTCACTTGAGGGAAAGCTTCAGTGATAAGGCTACTAGGTTTTACCTTTCCTCCCATAGCTGCGGCTTCCATGTCCCAGAGCCCACAGCCAAGAAAAACCCAAGGTCCTGGCAATAACACTATATTACTCTGAAATACCAACACTTCTGAAAACAGCATTCTATCCATAAATATTAAAAAATAAAAATTAAATCGCTCCCACTAACAATCACAGCGTTCCTGGATTACATCGAAAAATCATTAAATCAGAACTTTTTTTTTTTCCTCAACAAAGGAGACCAAAGTAAATCTGTACCTTCCTTCTGCTTTTTTTTTTTTTTTTAATCCTTTCAACAAGGCTATACTGCATTATGCAAAACTATTTTTCATTCAAGCAGTAACTTCTGTACAAATCTAAGCAGAGGAAATACTTCTGCCAACAGCAGACAGCACCCTATTGTTTCCTGTTATAGCTAAAACTAAAATATTGTAGAGACAAGAAAATTAAGAGATAGGTATTTACACTGGCTGCTCAAGCAAGGAGAGCAAAAATATTAGTTAAACATTCAGGGCTAGATGGCCTCAAACATGCTGCATCACACACCTGGCAGCATTAACCTTCCTCTGAAGGCTTCAGTAGTCTGCAATATTTGTTGCACCACATCTTCAGAAAGGCATTTGCTTGCAGACAAATAAACCCCAGCTGAAGATTTAACACATTAAGTTTTAAATAATAGAGCCTAAGCATAGCAGTTGTTACTTCTTCCAGAGACTGAAACTTACACACACACACCACCTTCTCCCACTAGCTTTTTCAGTAACTTGCCCAGTACACACTACTGGCAGA